ATTTAAGTAATATGAGGTCTGAGGGGATCACCAAAAGAAGTCTGAGGGGTTGTTTATTAATGCATATTACTTAAAACTCAAGATTGCAAGTAGATTGTGCGTAATTACAACTTATTAAATATTCATATCTGAATTCGTGTAACTAACTGCAGATAAACATAATCAAATACAGGTGAAGGCATGTGAGTGGGGAATTCTAAGAGAATACTTAATTATTATCTTTATAAAATGTTATATTATTAAAYCAAAAATAAATTATTTCGTTATTAAACTTAAATTAAAYTATAATGYYCTCTCACACAGGTGGGGGCATGTGAGTGGTAAATTAAACGAAGTTAGATAGAGGGACTTGATTCGTAACAAAAGTGAAACTACGATGATCATGGTTGTAATTAATTCGTTTGAGAGACTCGATTCAAAATTTCATGAAACAACAGGGATGAAATCTATAATTTACTCTTTTTTTAAATTGGGTAAATTGCATTAAAAAATAACGTATTTTAACTTGATACCTATTTTGGGTAACGTACTTTCAAAACTTATATTTTGGTACCTAAGATGTAAAGTTTTAAACATTTAAGTATCCGGGTAACTGGTTGAAGCATTAACCGGTTACCATGCTGGTGTGACGAGTGATGAGATGAAATTGGGTTGAATAACAAATAATACTGAGTTGGATACCACATCACTCACCATATCAACATGGTAATCGTTTAATGCTGCAACCGGTTATACAGATACTTAAATGTTTAAAATTTTACATCTTAGATATCAAAATAAAAGTTTTAAAAATATATTATTTAAAATAAAAATTAATTTAAAGTACGTTGTTCTTTTTAAGATTTTGAGGGTTTGTTGTTTTGGAAAATCCCTTTGGAAAAAAAAAAGATTTTTCTAAAAATCTTTATTTTTTAAAATTTTCGAAATGATATCTGAAATTAAATGCAATTGGTTAGTAATATTTATTTCTCGCACCTTCTAAAAAAATCTTGAAATTAAATGCGATTAATTTTATACGTTATTTAATGATGATTAATTAAATGCGATTAATCTTTTCAATCAGGATCAAAATCAATCCAATGGGACCACCCAGAGAAAAAACTGTCTGATTAGTCAAATTGACCAAACCTATAAATTGGATTTAGGGAGTTCACGCGGTGGTCTCATTTCGATTTTGTTTCCGTCTTCAATGTACTCGTCGACGCTTCCTCCTTCTTGATAAAAGGATCCCAATGCTTCGTGGATTGGACTGATTATGAGAGATCAGATGATGCATATGATGTCAGGTTAGTTTTTCGATTTCCTCATCTTGTGGATCGACTCGTCACTGTTCACCTAGGTCTTTTTGTTAGATGTTTGATTCGATGTTTAATTAAGAGAAACACAGACTGATTCATGATTTGGTGCAACATGATTTTTTTTCTTTTTGTCAGAAGTTTTGTGTAGAGGAATTTAAGAGAGTATCTGTAGAAACATGGATCTTGGATAACGATGGAGAAATTCTATAGATATGTAACCTTGGAACTTTGTCCTTAATGTGTGTGTGTACGTGTGTGTGCTGGTGATGCATGCCAAAGGTAATTAAACTGTGTATTGATAAACTCTTTGATGGTGCAACCTTTGTTTTTGAATACTTATTTTGCACTCCCAYTGTTATGTAGTATCTTGATTCCTGGAATTGTCACCGCTAAGAACTTGTTAAGGTCTTGATGCTGTCATACCGAGCTTCTCTTTGCCTTCAAATTGAAAGTTGGAACACACTTCAACTCTTCAAATTCAGAGTGTTTTTTTGGTATTTAATAATTGGGAGAAAGAAAACAATACATATATATATATATAT